GAGAAGCAGCACCATCTATTGGGCATCTGTGCAGAATATATATAGCTATGTCTTGTGGGACAGTTCTCTAACCCCAAAGGTCTCCTGTTTGATGTGGTGAGTCCCCAGTGGGCCATTTCACCATTTTCTGCAGCCAGCTGTTTTGGGTGATGGAGTATGTGACAAGATGAGTGAATCCCATGACCATGGGTCATCACCTCACTGTTATCCTAAAACAAACTCCTTGGTCAGTATTGTGTCCTAACAGTGAAAAGTTGGTCAGCAAGTTCATAGGTGGTGACACTGGAGAACAGGGTATATCAGTCTGGGTCCAATCAGGAGACAAGCCATATAGTAATTTAAACAAGGGAAATTTAATATATTAAGAAATTAGTGAGCTTTGACAGAGTAGCTATAAACTAGAAAGAGAACGCTAAAGTATACTCCAGGGCTGAGGGATAGTACCCCCGAGGAAGGATACATTTAGAAGGGGGCCATACCCCGAGACTGGGGTTCATATCTTGTTGGAATACAGATGGTTGCCTGGGCCAGAGCTAGTCCGTACTTACTAGGCAAGCAGGATCAGTCTGGGGTGCAGGCCAGCTGAGGCGGATGGGTGGGCATGCAGAGGCAGTCAGGGCCCCCTGTAGGCATGTGTTGGGAGGGCCATGGAAACATTCCTCTAGGGTTCAGGTGAGCCAGCATTGACGGGCAGGTGTGCAGGCGTCTGGGAAGCATCAGCAGAACTGGTTGCTGGAGCAGCAACCTCCTAACCAGGCCTGCACACACCTGTCTGTCACTTGGGCCAGGGCGGCTCCAGGTCCCTGTGTGGGACAAGATTGGGTGGTAATAGGCTCACTAGACAGCCAGCCCTGCAGGAACCCTTCTATGTGCTGAGGCATGGGGCTGAGGAGAGGGTGCAGGAAGCAGTCATTGAGGCTGGGGCACAAGTCCAGAGTCCCTGGGGCTCCTCCCAGATATGTTGTTGTTTCCTGAGTGAGTCCATTGCTGGAGCAAGCACGAAATGCCAAACACCAGAGAAGCTATGTCCTGCAGATACCTAGCATTGGAGAATCCAGGTCATCCTTGGTGGAAGTTCATGTCACTGAGCACGTTCATCACTCCCATCCTTGCTGCCATGTCTCTTTGTTCATGAGCGTATTTGAATAAGTGTTGGGGAAAGAAGCTCAGAGACATACATATGCAGGGCAGCTCATCTCACCCACTGTTTTGAGAGCTGCTTTGGCAGTGGCTGTCATTGCTGAGCACTCACAGAGGATACAGATTTCCTTGCGCTCCATGCCCAACCTCAGGCCCCTCCTCTAGAGCCCTCTGCTTCCAGTCATCCCTTCTTGTTCTTTCCAGGTTCCTGGGCCAGCCAGCCAGACACCAGCTTCTATCAGTACACTGGTGTAGATCTGCATCTCTGGCCATTTCTCCTCCCTGGCCAAGCGTACAGGCAAGCACCCTTCTCAGACTTGTGCTCACTGGTTGGATTTTCCCTCCCGCTGAGCCTTCAGGACCCTGTCTGAGTACAGTGTCAGCTCTAACCATCCACCACTGGCCGGTGCCAACATTCTCATTCAGAACCATCTATAAAGAGACTCTGCATTTTCTTCCTTTGTTATTGGTCCTAGGTGTCGTTTTTGAAGTGGCAGTGCGGGCACTTGGTTGTACAACGTGTGTGTGATTTCAGGGTCGTCTTGCACACATTCTCCCGGTGGACAGCTCAGGTAGCTCCCGGTCAGGCAGCCGGCCTCTCCGGTCTGCTGCCATCACTTGAAAACCACTGGAGAGTTTTCTGCTTGCTCATTCCATGGACACTGCCTGTCCTAGGAGTGACATTTAGAAGAAGGAATGTGCTTGGGACAAAGTCTGTGGTCAGTTTCTTGGGAGAGAGAGAGAGGAGTGCGTGTGGTCGGGAACTGCTGTGCCAACAGGAGGCCGGTCCTAACTGCCCAGACTGAGAGAGAGTGGGCGTGGGGGGAGTCAGCTTTTAAAGAGGAGATGCCTGAGCTGCACTGGAAGAGGAGAGGCACTTTCCAGGTGGCTAACGGGCAGATCTTTTGTGGTCTTGTGAGTACAGATGCAGGATTCACACTGCCTGGATTTGAATCCTAGCTCTGTGATGTCACGTGGGCTTCCGTGATGGGTCTGTTCCTTAGGTGCCATAGCTTTTTTTTTTTTTTT